CCCCAAAACCCCAAAACCCCAAAACCCCAAAACCCCTGTACTTAAATAAAAAATTGACTTTTGTTATTGTATACCGTACTTTTTCTTCCTAAAACTCGACGATCTAGATTATATAAATTATTTATTCACAAAAGTTGAGTCTAATAATAACCTATCTTTTCGAGTACCCCATGCCTGAAGGAGCTTAATACTTCAAGAAGAACTCTATTAGCACAGCTTCATTTTCTTGGGAAATAATTTAAATAATAAAATGTTAGAAACAAATTTATGGGAATTTTCCAAAAATCTAAAACTTAAAATTGGGATATCAAAGTTTATCACATAAAGTTGAGTTAGAGGAAGGAAACCCTAATTAGTAAACTCAATTCTTAAGTACAAGTTATGAATGAATAGGCTAATTTAGAAGAGTCTAGAGGGAAATAATTGGTTTGGATAACCAATTTCTTTATTAAACACTACTGTTCAAAAGAAATAGGTCGTAATAACCCATTATCACCTCTATAAATGCCAGCCTATGTTTGAAGTTGGATTGAGTTAAAAGATAGTTCAGGAGCATGAAGTCTTGGAAGTTTTTTCCACAGATTTCTTCTCTGGGGCTTTACTCCTCTTGCCAGACTTTCACACAGAAGCTAGGGGACCTTCCCCTGCTGTATCAGCAAATCTTACTTGCTTTTTACCCTTTAAAGAGGCTATACAAATTGGTTAGTAAAGGATGGATACAACAAAGATTTTTAAAATCTATAAAAAGAAGGCTGTGGATCGAATAAGAAGCAGAAATAAATCAGAAGAATAGTAAAAACTATTATTCGAATGGTTTAACCGAGCTTTAAGTATCACCAAAAAGCGCCTACCTTCGCTATTGAAGCCTTTAGCAGATTTCTTCGGCATACTCTCAGATTTCTTGTAACGTCATCTCTGTAGTCTCCTGAGCCTGATATGCTCTGGAACATTTATAGAGCCAATAAGATCTCTTGTAAAGCTTTCATAGCTCGTCTGATTAGTTAACATACTATTATTTCTAATGAAAGAGACATCCGAGTCTTGGTTGCGATTTAAAAAGTTCAAAGCCATCTCTTTACTAGATATAGAGCTTCCCTCTTTACCTCCTCTCTTTACATCTTGGAAGGTGCTTGGATGCCTTAAAAGCAGCTTCTGGTTCCGATCTTCTAAGTAAGTATTACTCTTGGAGAAGCTATGCCTCTTCTGAGAGAATGGATCTTCTGTAGATATCACATTCAGCCGGTACTGGTTGTCTTCATCTTCTATAAATGCTTTATAGTCATGAATCCAAGAGATTTTAAATGAATTAGCAGATCCCAAAATGTGATTAACATTAGATAAAACTTAATTCATTGAAGGCCTCCCCAAGATGGTATTCTAAAAGCCGGTAGTAAGTTTGGACCAAAACTAGATTCTTGACTTACCATGATGAGACACCCCATTCGAGTCCGATAATGTTTCATCTACAAAGCTACTGTTATCGTTTCCGATGCCAGGATTTTCCTCTTCTGAAGAGCTTAAGCTCTCATTCTATATACATATCAGCATTGCTTGTATACAAAGTACTTACTTGGTGATGAATGTGAGATTTCTTTCTCTTTCCATGATCAGAAGTTCTTTTCTGGTTTGAAGATCCTAGGAATAAATTAGAAATATCTAAAGCTTACTTTGAAATTTGCCGTTTCTGAGAAGCTCTTCATTATCTTCGATAACAGACTCACACGATTGTAGAATTATTCACCCTTTAGATTCAGGTTTATCGCTATAATGACATGAGATGACTTAAATGTACAGGTTCAAAAAATTTCACGAATGTTTAACATTTTCCAGTGCCAGTATAAGCCACATGTCTCATTAGACTATTGACCTGATTCATGGCCAAACCAAAAATTTGGAAATGGTTTGGCATGTTAAATTTAGTAATATAGATAATACGTACTCAATGCTAAGTGAAGACATTATTAAATTGTCTAAATTCTATTTCTTAAATTATGTAAGGGGTTTTGGGGTTTTGGGGTTTTGGGGTTTTGGGG